TTAGCTTATTCTTTAAGGAATTAACATCTACCGTGATTAAGGTTGAAGATATGATCCGTCTTGAGAAAAATATACCAATAATCTTGTGCAAATTAGAGCGTATTTTCCTACCTAGTTTTTTCGACTCAATGGAGCATCTTCTCGTACACTTGACATATGAAGCAAAAATAGCCGGACTTGTACAATATCGATGGATGTATCCATTTAAAAGGTACAAATTTATGATTTTAGTGGACATCCGTAAGTTTATAACTCTATCAAATGTTGATTAAGTCTAATGAACTCACAATATTATTGTAGGTACCTTCGCAAATTAAAAAATAATGTTAAGAACAAAGCAAAAGTCGAAGGGTCAATATGCAATGCATATTTAGTTGAGAAAGCTTCAATGTTCGTTCATATTACTTTGAGCCTCGTATGCACTAGGCATCGAAAAGTACCTAGAAAATTTGAGTGTGATCGAGAACCGAATGACGATATTGAAGGCATGTTAGTAATATTCATTCCTAAAGATAGACCTCTTGGTCGAGCATAATCACATGTCTTGACGGATCAAGAAAAGACTGCAGCGTACACCTAAATGCTATTGAACCGTGATGAGGTCACACCTTACACGGAGTACGTTTTATAACTATCAAATATTATTACTATACATTTATCATTAACTATCATTCAATTTTAAAATATATAATAATAATATTTTAATCGTCGGATATTTTATCGATCAAATTTATGAAAGTGACCCTAACATATCGAAAAACGAGGTTGATTTTCGACTTCAAAATCAATTTGCATCATGGTTCCATCGATATGTGAGTATTGCTACTCGTCAAGATTGTTATTAAATATTCATAAATTTATTTTATCAAATTTTATAATAAAATTACCTTATAAGTAACTCGGTCCTTACATACGGACAAGTCGAGCACAACCTAAAACTATAACAGATCATTATATTAAAGATTTAGCCAAAGGACCATTACGAACGGTGAAGTCGTATACGAGGTACATTATAAACGGATATAAGTTTCATATCGATGTTTGTGGTTCGGAGAGAGCATCAATGTATAGTGGAGTGTGTGTAAAAGGAGTTGGCTACGGTGTGGTGGAAAATGACTACTACAATAGGTTGATTGACATACTCGAACTTGAGTATCCAACCTTACCAATAAAGAAAACCGTTTTGATCAAATGTGATTGGTATGATACGACACTTGGAATCGATACATGAGTTCATGATCATTATGGACTAGTCGAGGTTCATAGTCGCGAGTATTCAAATAGATCCGATCCCTTCATACTAGGATCACAAGCGCATCGAGTGTATTATTTAAAATATCCTACATGTAAACGTATATGATGAGATTGGTTGGTGGTATGTAAGATTAAACCAAGGTCGATGGTTGATGTGCCGGAAATGTACGTTATCGTCGATCAAACGAATATCGAATCCTTTCAAGAAAATGAAATAGAAGGCCAACACAATGTCATGCACGTTGATGATGATGAAGGTCAATCATTGATTGATCCTACTGGAGCATTATTATAATTGAACTGTGGTGAAATAGATATTCGGAATGAATCGGAGTTAGAAACCGATGTTAAGGAAGACTTAGACGAAGAATGTGACAATGATGATAATGATACCGATTAGAGATAATATGGTATATCCTAGTAGATTATGTTATATTGTATTTTTTATTCAATTCATAAATTATGCACTTGAATTTTATGTAATTGCAGTTTGAATTTAAGGGTTTAGGCAACCTTGTCCTCCCGGGATATTGGGATAGGCTAGTTTTGTCCCCCAAGTGTAATTTTTCATACTATTTTAATAAATCTCCGGGGTATCGTCCTCGTTTTGTCACAAAAAAGAAAAAATTAGGTTTATTGTTATGTTTACCTACATAGTTAACTTATACTTTTTAAAGGTAAGATTTAATTAAATAAATATTTTTGATTTATTGTTGTTTAAATATAAATCAATTTTTTCATATTAATTTGAATGTTATATGTAAGTATACATGCATTATATAATTAATATTTTATTTAAACACTATTGAATTTAATAATTAATATGTAGGTCATAATGACTCGAGGTAGGGTTCTTGGTTCGGATATTGATCGGTCCGACAATGATCGTGGACGTAGACACTCTTCTCATTTCGCTCACGATCGGATGGATCCCCTACGGACATGCCTCGGTACCACTCTTCCGGTGGCCCCTCCACATCCCATTCCATGCCCGACATTTCTCGGCCTCGACCATTTTCGTATTATGGACCTCCACGTTAACCTCCCTTATCTTTTCCTTCGTCGTCGTCGGTGCCTTCATCATCACATCGGGACAACCATTTTGTTTCTCAACACGTTCCAGCCCATAACGTCCCATGTTAATCAACTTTGGAACCTATCACATCTACGGTTGACCATCGAGTACGGGTCATTGTCATTGGCCGTAATGAGTATGGTTTATACTTAATTTAATTAAATATTTTTTTATTACCGTTATTATGTACTCGATTATTTATGAATTTAGTTAAAGTTTATTTTTTATAGGTTGTATCCCTCCGATGTTTGCTCTCGCTCGATCGTTAAGACATTCTAGGAGTATGTTCATATTTTAGGATGGATGTGGAAGAAAATGAGTCCGGAGACAAAAGATTTTTACTGGGAAGAATTTAAGGTTCTAATTCTAAATTTTATTTGATTATATTATTTAGTATTTAATTAAATATCATAAAATAATATGCAAATAAATTTAGTAATGTTTATTATTATTATTATTATTATTATTATTATTATTATTTGTAGAAATCATTTAAGTGGGATGATGATTTGAACGAGAGCATAGTTAAGAAAGCATGGGAAAGTCTCACATGGAAGCGATATTCGACTTTCTTTGTCGTCTAAGAAAAAAATCGAAGCCATCATATATCTCATAGGAAATATGGGATGCATGGACTACGGAATGGATGAAACCCGATGCCGTTGCTCGATATGAGATGGCGAGCATAAAATCGTAGGAGCGAGACTGGTGGAGTCGGAGCTGGTCTTTCTAGGCATACGGGGGATCAATCAGCCATAGAGAGCATGCCATACAAATGGTAATATATATATATATATATATATATATATATATATATATATATATATATATATATATATATATATATATATTAATTTATTTATTTATAATTTTTTTAAAAATAATACTTAAAATAATTAATTAAACATTTGACTATATTTAATACATTTACGTTTATTTATATATGCTTTTAGCGTAATGTGTTACGTCGTGAACCCGATCCTCACGAGGTTTTCTTAAGAACTCATCGGAGAAAGGTTAATGATCGGTTAGTCTTCTTTGATCAACGATCGAGGGTTATCGGAGTATGTGATAACTTTGAAACATTATTTAATATTTGTTAGTTAATAACGTTATTTGACATACGTGTTTAATACGATGTGTTTCATAATTATATAGGAGACCGTACAAAGATTAATTAATGAGGAAGAGGTTGCTAGGCGACGATCGGGAGGGATCGAATCGACCACACCCGACATTAATGACATATTTCGAAGGTCGTTAGTGGAGGAAATAGTAGGAGGAAGAGGATGTACGGGCTCGTGTCACATGCATCTAACTATTATTCTACCGTAAATGCAAGCTCATCTTCTCGCTACTTCAAGATTCAATGCAGTCGACGAGGCACAAGTCGAAGGAATTATAAGAGCAAACATCCGCAAACAGGACACATATCAATAACTTAGAGGTACTATCGGCAGCTTACGGGGCCGGTGGCATTGTTATTGGATACGACAAATGAGTTGAGAACCTATAGTCGACAATAGTATACGATGATGTCACGGATGCGATAGATGTTCATGCGGCATTTTGACCATGGTGGTAGTTCATCCGTCGTTCCTCGAGATCGACAACGACACAACCTAGCCTCCGGACGACTCTACCTAATCTCCTACCGATCCCGGATATTAATTTATTTTAGCTTTTCTCGTTTTCTTGTATTAACTACAACTGATGTACTATTTTTTATTATTTAATAATAATTTAATTATTTAGTGACATTTTAATACATTTCGAATAATAAAAATTTACGTTTACAATATTTTATGAGATTTTGGTTATTTTAAAATTGTTACTTTTACCTCATTTTATTTTAGTCTGTAAAAAAATTTAATTTTCCAATTAGCGATGGTCTTAGCAAAGGTCTAGACCGTCTCTAAAGACGAAAATATTAGCAACGGTCTAGATCGTCGCCAATCTGTCTCTATTTAGCAACGACCATACCAAGGGTTTAATAGACCGTCACTAATTTCGCAACTATTTACACCGACATTTAGCGACGGACTAGCAACATTTTTTACCGTCATTAATTTTGCAACGGTCAAAACCGTCGCTAAACTATACCGACGAGCTTTTTAGTGATGGTCTCGTAACCGTCGCTAATGAGTCGCGAATTCGTTTTCACGACCTTTTTTTTTATTTAGAGACGATTTTGCCCGTCGCTAATGAGCCTTTATCTTGTAGTGAAATAACAATAAAATTAAGGATAAATTTCCTTTTTCACTTTCGTTATATTTTCAATTTTTTTCTTCTAGTTTTATGAATAATTATCCCACAATAAAGATGAAAGATGTTTATTTATCAGATATGTCATTAACAAATTAAAAATAGAGACATTTAATTGAAAAACAATGAAGATGCAAACATTAAAATAAATAAATAAATAAAAATAGACACAAGTCATTGAAAAAAAGGAAGAAAAAAGTAGAGACCCTTTATAATTAAAAAAATTTGAATAAATAAAGGCAATTCATTTTTCACTACCTCACAAAAAGCGCAACTCCCAAATACCGTGGGTTTGTACTCTTATGACAATATATTCATCTAGTTATGGTCCATGCAATAAGGGAAAATGGAATATATATATATATATAATCTCTTGTGGGGTTATGTTTGGTGACGAAGAAACAGATCAAGGCAATTTGGGAGGTGGAATAAGCCACTTGTTTCCATTGATGTAAGTCATGCTCAAGAAGGGTTTTGCTTCTGCTTCACATAATGACTTTGCATATGGAACTCGACCAGAGGAGCTAGAACCTGGGCCAGTGCACTTGTACTCTCCATAATACACAGTCCTAATTCATAAAAATCATCACCGCCATATATGTATATAATTGATGCTATCATCTAACATTGATTTATCAAAGTAAAATTAAAAGAAAAAAAGGTGTGGATGCATACTCATTGCGCTCAGGATACTTGTAAGTGGACCAGCCTTCATCGTTAATTAGATGTCCCATGTAAGTGTAGGCAAACACAACCCTTGGTCTCTTCTTCCAAGCACGACCAAGGTAAGTATTGTTACCTAAACCAGTTATGTTGCAATGAATAAATGTGAATCCACTTTCATCGGTGGCATTTTCCCGTGCTTGAGCTGTGATCACCCCTGTACCTTCCGCAACTGATTCTATAGTTGTGTTCTGCATAATTAATTAATCGATCCTTCCTAATTAGTAACCATTAAAATCCTCAAGTGTAGATCATGATAATTATATGAGAACATCAACAGAAAAAAAAAAAAAAATTCTTAGGTAGATATGCCACTCACTATTAGACTTGGATGACTTGCAATGATTTGTAAGCATGATAACTCTGTCAAGCTAAAAGCATTTTTTTTTAAAGTTGCTAGAAGTAAGATATGTGTGGCTACTTTAGCCACCACAACTTGTCATCATTGTTTGGCAGTCATGTCAGCGTTAATTTCGACCTAAAAAAACACTTCTTGTTTATTTAAGAAAAGGCCTCACATTTGTGGTTCACCAGAGTTATAAATCCACAATATTAATTGCAACAATTAGTGTAGGGCATTTCCGTGATAATAGCTCACACCTATGATTAGTGTTTGAACCTAGAATTTCTTGAAGTCCTTTTATCCTAGGTCTAATCTTATCAGTAGTATTAACCCGTGTAGATTAATCTCTTTTTAACCAAAAAAAAAAAAATTCAAATAAAATTCTATTCTTATTACTGTATAGCGATCTATTAGTAGTAAGAAGTCAAGAGAGTATTTGAAGCAAAAGAGAGTACCAAGTAGAGGGATTTTCCATTTCCAAAAATGAAATCAACAGTTCCACGGACATAGCAGTCCTTGAAGAAATGTCTGCCCCGATCATCATAAAAAGTGTCTTGAAACCCAACAAACTTGCAGTTATGAAATGCTGCTTTATCCCCTGATATTCTCATGGACACTGCCTGCGCACCCGTTCTATTTACATCTGGCATTGGAGCCGAATTCTACAAATAAGAATCAAGTAAAATTAATTGAAGACATCACATGTATGTTGGTGGCAATCTGTTAAAACAATCATGACATGCCAGTGGCCATCAACAAAGGTCTTAAATAAAACTAGACAAATCAAAGAAAGAACAACGAAGGAGTACTTTAAACCAATGAACAGAATATTTTTACTATATATAGTTTTTCTGCTTTACAATTATAACTAACTCTAACTAGCAGATAAATTCTATCCCATTCAAAATTAATACAAGGCTGGATGTCCTGCTCCATTTCTCAATCAACTCAGAAAATCTCCATGTTAATCAAGATAGATTGGGACGGAATTCTATTACAAAGGAGCAAATTGTCATCCATAACTCTATCTCAATACTTGTATTTCTTTTCTTTCTCTTTCTGAAAAGTGATTATACATTCAAAAAGGCCTAACTAGCTCTCAGTGTCGTGAATTTCAAAATGTTAATGCATTGCAATTATTCAATGTTAAAAAAGAAAAAAAAAAACATTACAATAAATATTATATGAAAGAAAGAAAACAAATTACCACAAATGCCACATTGATGGCCATGAAGTAATCACTCTCTACAGCTACGGTGGCGCTATAGATCGTTCCATACTGTGAAGCAGTGCCATTAAACACTATCTTTGGTATATCCTTTGGATCTCCATAAAATGTAATAAACGGTTTATTGCATTTAATCGTGATTTTCTCCCAATACTCACCTCCGCCAATCCAAATAATTGTTCTTTGCTTGTTGTCCTTTGGAATGCTTTCCAAGGCATCAGTGATAGTTCTAAAATCAGCAACGCCCTCCTTTGCAACCCTTATCAACCTAAGTCTGTCCTCAGCCGAGGCCAAGCGCTGATCCAAATCAATGCGTTGAACTCCTTTGGAATTATTGGCTTTTCGCTCATTGAATTCATTGATGTTATCAGCAACCCATGCGTTTACTTTTGAGATGTCACTAGGGACGTGTTTGGTAGTGGAAATTGTTGTGGGGATGATTTGGATAACTTGTAAAGTGATTAAAATTGATGCAAAAGAAGAGAATGATCGTTTCATTTCTGCAACTCCTTTTCCTCTTTTTTTTTTTTTTTCAAGATTAATAAAGACTATAATGCTACATGCATGGTTTTTGTTTTAGGTAAACGATAGGGTTTTACTTTGGGTATTCATAATACGGCTTGTCTTGAAGGTCATGGGGTACATGAGATGCCCATGATCGGAGGAGAATATGATGAATGCTTGCTTATATGGGTGTTGATATTTGTAATGAGGGATGAGGGTGGCTTGGAATCTAGGGAATTTTTTTTTTTTTTTCCTTGAACAATCTTGTTGACTTGTTGCATTGCCTAAGTTAAGTTTTTTGGGTTTGAGGCATGCGTCCAAAATTGGGATGCACAATTCTAGCCATCGACAGGTCAGGTCATACTTGCATGTAAATTCCATTGCTGATTCGTTGGCAAATTCCGTTGCCTTCTTTTACAGTGATATTCGTGGCGTTCGATTCCCGTGGAGAGTATTTTCAAGATGGAATTGGACTCGAACTCCTGCGTAACAACTGGTTCCATAAAAATTAATGAACAAGCCCTTGATCAATGCTAGTATGGGAAAAATAAATATCTTTTTATTAAAAATAAAAGAAGAAGAACATTTGTTTTTTCTCGTTTTGTTATTAAGAAAATTTTAAATCTTTCTCTACCAATATGTTTGGAAAAATCCAAAGATATTACTTTTTGCTCGATTCGATGCATGCAATTATGATTTACGTGTCACAGTTTTCAAATCAGTCTCAAGAACTTGCAGTATTGAATTGAGTTATTTAGAACAACAATGATTTACATATAAATTTTTCTGACTAAATTTTTATAAAAACTAATAATTGAGAAAATGTGGATTCCATGAAGATAAAATAATTGGTTTTCCATGAAAAAAAGTCATATGTAAAATAAATAAGTCTCACTAGCCACACACACTTCTCTTCAAACCTTAATAGTTTGGGCCCACTAGTGTCATTGTCGTTTTTTAGTTTTATACTAGCTCAACACCCACGCGTTGCCACAAATAAGTTTATTATATATATGTTTTAATAATTTAAAAATATAAATGTTAATTAATTTTTAATTTACATTTATATTTTTAAATTATTAAAAATATATATGTTTTAATAATTTAAAAATATAAATGTAAATTAAAAATTAATTAACATTCATTGTAAAAAATTAATTATAATTATATATATATATATATATATATATATATATATATATATATATAATTGAATTTAAATATTTCTTAGGAATATTTTTTATTTTGATAGATAAAAAATACATGCAATTAATTATTTATTTTTTAAAAAATCCAATTAGAAGTGTTTAATCCATTTATATTAGAAGAATATTTAGTTTTAGTTCATGAATATTTATAAAAATAGAAAAAGTAACCATTGATCATGGAAAAAAATATTTTGATTAAATAATAATTAATGAAAAAAACCTAGTCCGAAAAAAATATGATAGGGACCTTTTGGTAAGATTAATAAAACTTAAGGCTTGTTTTATATAAAGTCATAACTTAGAGGACCAAAGTGTAAAATATTGATAAATTGATAAAAAATCATTAATTTTTTTTGAGAAAACGGTATCGTTTTGAGTCTAAAAAGACTCAAAAAGACGTCATTTTGGTTTCATTGTAGCATGGGCTTAGCTACGGTGAAATCATATTCCGTTTTAGTATATGTAACAATTAGTCGCTTATTCGTGCTATAATGCAGATTTAGTAGGAAAAAAATCATTTTACATTTTAAAATTTTTGAATTATACTTTTAAATTTAATTAATTTTTTAATATATTTTTTATAAATTTTCTGTTTAAAAAAAAACATAAATTATTCTTCTTTATGGATTGATTTTAAAATAAAAAAATATAATAATTTTAACTAAAATATTAATCAAGAATTAAAAAACCTTTAAAAATATAATTTTCATAATATTGTGTTTCAAAAAAGTAAATTTCTAATTAATGGAAACGATTTTACAAAAATTAACAAATGAAAAAAAATCTTATTTAATGCTAATGAGAAGATTAATTTTTAAAATTATCCATGCGATGCTTCAAGTAGATAGAACATATCATTTTAAAATTTTAAAATTTTTCATTATTTTTATTTAATTATTATAATTTTTTTCTTAAATTTTTTGCTTAAAAAAAATAATTTATTCTTTGCTATTCAAGGATTCTTAAATAAAAACTTGTAATAATTTAAACCTAAAATATTAATTAAGAATTCAAAAGAAAATACTTTAAAATTATATTGTTATAAGAATGTATCCAAAAAATAAAGTCACAATTAATGCATAGATTTGCATAAAAATTAACCAATGAAAAATAAAAATTTATTCTTATTTAATATTGGTGAGAAGATTATTTTTTAAAATATATGCATTAGATCTATATATATTTATTTACAAAATAATCAACAAAATTGCCCTAAAAAACTATATTTCAATAATTGATTGGTTCCTTTAAAAATTATTTTAATTATTTTATTACGAATAAATTAATTCTATAATGTTAAAAAATATTTATAATAAATAATTTGTATTATTTTGGTGAAAATGTATCGAAAAAGTTTAAACGTGAAATAAATGTTGGTGAGAAAGTATTTTCTTTTTGTAAATAAATATTCTTCGTTATTCAAAGATTCTTAAATAAAAACTTATAATAATTTAAACTTGAAATATTAAGTAAGAATTCAAAAGAAAATACTTTATATAATTATATATATATATATATATATATATATATCCAAAAAATAAAGCCACAATTAATGCAGAGATCTACATAAAAATTAACCAATGAAAAAATAAAAATTTATTCATATTTAATATTGATGAGAAGATTATTTTTTAAAATATATGCATTAGATCTATATATATTTATTTACAAAATAGTCAACAAAATTAGCATAAAAAACTACATTTGAATAATTGATTATTTCCTTTAAAAATTTATTTTAATTATTTTTTTTACAAATAAATTAGTTCTATAATGTTAAAAAAAATTATAATAAATAATTTATATTATTTTGGTGAGAATGTATCCAAAAAGTTTAAACCTAAAATAAATGTTGGTGAGAAAGTATTTGCTTTTTGTAAATAAATATTCTTCGTTATTCAAGGATTCTTAAATAAAAACTTGTAATAATTTAAACTTGAAATATTAATTAAGAATTCAAAAGCAAATACTTTAAAATTATATTTTTTTATAAGAATGTATCCAAAAATAAAGTCACAATTAATGCATAGATTTGCATAAAAATTAACCAATAAAAAAATAAAAATTTATTCTTATTTAAAACTTAATGATGTTAGATCAGTTGAATGATGCTACAATCTTTTCTAAGATTGATTTGAGGAGTAGTTATCGTTAGATTAGAATGTAACCTAGATATGAGTGAAAGACTACTTTTAAGACTTGAGATGGTCTCTATGAATGGATGGTCATGTCGTTTGAGCTATCAAACACACCTAGCACCTTCATTAGGTTGATGAATCGGGCATTTTGACCATTCATTGGAAAGTTTATTGTTGTGCATTTTGATAATATTCTTGTGTATAGTAGTGGGAAAGAGGAACAACTTAAGCATTTCGGATAGATGATGATGGTGTGAGGGAGTAAAAACTTTATGCCAATCTTAAGAAGTGCCACTTTTACACTAATAAGGTTGTCTTTTCACGAATGTGGCATGTAGCAAAGGACTCAAGATAGATAAGGAAAAAATTGAGGCTATTCTCAATTGGCTAGTTCCAATGATCGTGATTGAGGTTCAAGCTTTAAGGGTTTTGTATCTTTTTACCGATGATTCATTAAGGGATTTAGCATCATTATTGAATCTATCACCGAATTGTTGAAAAAGAGAAGTTTGAGGGACACCTAGAGTTCGGAAGGGGTTTGAGACTTTATGAAATTTTTTGAGGTAGATTGTGATGCCTCTAATGTGGCAATTAGGATAGTACTTAATCAATAAGGATGACTAGTAACCTATTTTAGTGAAAAGTTGAATGAAATTCAATAGAAGTATTCTATTTACGTCAAAAAATTTTGTGTCATTATTAGGGCGTTGGATAATTGGAGCCATTATTCATTGCCAAATGAGTTCGTATTGTTCTCTAAACATAAGTTTTTAGTACACTTTTATAGTCAAGCTAAGCTCAAGAGGAGACATACATCATAGAGTGAATCTTTATCTTTTTTTTTAACTATGTTCCAAAGGATAAGTCAAGTACTTTTAATAAGGTAATTGATGCTCTCAACTATTGATATACCTTACTTTTTTTTATTAAGGGTTATGGTTTTTGGATTTGAAGTGATGAAGGCTTTATACATTGAGGATTTTTTCTTTGGTTCGATCTAGAATAAATATGGTATATCTCTTTATAAACATCACAACATTAATGATGTTTATTTATTTAGTAAAAATTGCTTAAGCTTTCCTAAATGCTCGTTATGTTAAACTATTTTGAGTGAGTGTCATGATGATAATCTTGTTGGGCATTAGGGGTGGGATGAGACTCTTGAACTTGTGTCCGAATACTTCTTTTTGCCTCATATGTCACAAGATGTTGAAAAGTTTGTAAAGAAGTGTAGGGCGTGCCATATAGTGAAGGCTAAAGGACAAAAGATTAGGTAATATACTTCGTTGCCTATTCTTGAATATTTGTGGATGGATGTAAGTATGAATTTTATTGTAGAGCTCTCTCGAACATAAAAGTCAAAGGATACATGATGATAGTAGTGGACATGGTTTTTAAGATGGCATATTTTATTGCATTTAAGACTACTCACGATGTAACCGATATTGCGAACTTATATTTTTATAAGATCTTCTAACTATATGGCATTCATAGGACTATCGCTTTAGGTAAAAATGTCAAGTTTACAAGTCATTTTTGGAAGATATTATGGAGAAAGTTAGGTATTAACTTATAGTTTAGTTTGATAGCCCATCCATAAATAGATGGATAATCCGAACTTGTTAACCGTAGTTTGGACAATCTCTTT